CAGCCCCAGCGAGAGCGCTGCGAGGGACGGGTGCCAGGCAGACAAGCAATTAGCTCCAGTTCTCGGAAATGCTCTTTTAGACCCTGACTCTTCTCCTCTTGCCCAGAGACAAGTAATTGTGTGTCTCAGCGGGGCTGAGCCGCTCTTGGCGGGGAGCAACGGCCCGGGTGCTCCAGAGGCAGCGGCAGGGAGGTGGCTGGGAGAGGTCAGGACTTATTCCTAAAGGGAGGGAGCAGAGCCAAACCCTCAGCGGAGCAGGGAGATGGACCAAGGACCGTGGGGATCCCAGCCGGTCACGGGCCAGAGAGGGAGAAGGATCCTGGAGAGGTTAAGAGTGGGACAAGGCTCAGCCCGGGAAGCTAAGCAGATCCATAAGCTGGAGGAACAACGCGCTTTTGTCTCGGCCAGGACCGAGCATGAGCCCATAACTCCCAGGGAACTTGGCCACACCGCTGCTGGCAGAGCAATCCAATGCCGCCGAGCCAAGGGCTTCACCGCTGTCCTGCAAAGCCACTCACACGACCACACGCCGGGAGCGGAGGTGTCCCGGAGCAACACGGCACGCGGCACGGCTCACCTTGCTCCAGAGCCTCCTGCAGCCGGCAGCCGCTGGCCCCCGGCGTTGCGGGCAGGGGTCTCTGCACTCGGGGCCGGTGAGAAGGGACGGAGATCTTCACAGGCCCCACGTACTCCACGTACGTGCCGGGAAAGTCACCCTTCTGCTTGGTCCGCTCATTGACGCCCAGGATCCACCCGATCTGGTTGGGGGTCTGCTCATCCCCGTCTTTGAAGCCCAAGGCTTGCAGGGCCCCCTTGCTCACCACCAGGATGTCCCCGGGCAGCAGATCAATGTCCTCCTCGCGCTCCTTGCGGTAGGGGTAGAGCGCGCGGTACTGGAACCCATCGGTGCTGCCCATTCTGCCGCCGGGAGAATGGCTCCGAACGGCGAAGCAGCGTGTTTCAGGCGGGGGGGGGGAGGACCCCAAGGGGAGGGCAGCTCTCCCCCATCAGCTCTCTGAGCGTCTCTGCGTGAAGCAGCACCCCAGGAGCCTGGTCCGGGTGCCCCGGCGCGCTTAGGTGCAGCCCCTTTTCCTTAGCTTGAAGCCACGATTCAGCCAAATTATGGAGCAAAGGGAGAAGGAGACAAACATAATCCAGCACTCGTGAGCGGGCATGCAGCAAAGAAACAGCAGATCGGGGTCCGCTTCACCAAAAAAGAAGGTTTCTTGGAGTCCGGAGGGCAAAAGCACGGCACGCTTCCAGCCCAGAACGGCGTGGCACGCGACGTCTCCCGTCCCAGCACCTGCGGAGAGAAGATGACCTGTCACTGCACAGTCAGGCACCCCGCACCCTCCCGAGACGCCAGCATTCAAACCCGGGGTTCATCCGGACTCGTTTCTCTCCGACCCACCAGCTGATGCTGAGCCCTGGACCCAACCAGGACGCGCTGACACCAATTCGCACCCCCAAAAGCAAGCGAGGAGCTGGTGGCCACAGAAATGCCAGCTCCTCTCCGCTGCCACCAGCTCAGCATCTCGGAGAGGTTCGCTCCTGCTTCTCCAGCTCACCCTCCAAGCAGCACTTGTGCAAACAAGACGAGGACAAGCGGGACAAAACAGCCTTTATGCAGGAACTTTTGCATACAGAAAGGGTGACCCTGCAACCACCAGCTGGAGGCCCGGAACAGGAGCAAAACAAACAGATTTAACCTTTTCTTGTGAAATCGATTAAATTTCACCGTTCACCTTTACATCTCCCCATGCAATCCCCCACAAAGTCCTCTTCTGAAGGTAGCAGCCCACAAACGGAGGTTAACCCAGCTTTCAGCGAAAGCCTTTTGAGAGGCTTTGCCATTCCCACAGAGCAGCACTTCAAAGCTTTGCTCCGAGCAAAGTCAATTTTTTGAACTTTTCAAAAGCAGCAACAGCATCAAGTGCGGGCACGGGTTCTTTTCGCAGAGATGGAGGTGAGACGAGTTAAAATAATCTTCAGAAGCCTTCAAGTCTACTTAGACCTGCTAACTGCCTTTCAGCTATTCAGAGAGAAATTGAAGAATATGCTGCCTGCCCTGCCCAGAAATCCACCAAAAAGAACAAACCTGGGTTATAACATGTTGTGGAAGGGATCCATGAGCTGGGACATTCCCACCAACCGGGCACGTCCTCTTTTCCCATCCCCTCCCGGCTGCACGGGCCAGTTTTCCACCTCCCCCGGGCAAACCCCAGCGCTCCGGTTCCCGCAGCCACGGCATGCAACCAAGGCCCGGACCTACGAGGCGGAGGGGCAGCCCGAAA